TTGCAGCTGGGGCAGCTAACGGGCTAGACATCCACTTGCAAGATGGCACATTCACACGGCTGGCGAGCTGGTGCTGGCTGTCAGCAGCAAGGTCAGGGGCTTTGGTTCCTTTACATATAGGCTTTTACTCAGGGCTGCTTCGACCTCCTCACAACATGGCAGCAGAGTTCTAAGAGTGACAAGTGACAGGAAGAAGAAGCTGCAAGTCTCTGAAGCCTGGACCCGCACACATCACTTTGGCCCTATTCCATTAGTTAAGCCATCACAAATCCACCCAGATCCCAGGGGAAGAGATATAGATGCCATCTCCTGAAGGGCGCAGTATAGACTCATTCTCAGCATCTGTAAGCTACCACATCCACAGCTCTCTCTCTTTTTCCCCATGTGTCCCACCCCCAGGTTGTCTGTCCCAGACAGTGAGGAGTCTTACACTAACTGCCAGGGTTCCCCTATCTCACTGCCTGTTTTCCCTCAAAGTACATATTCTAAGAACAATCTCCAACAACCACACCCACAGCTCTAGCTTTCCCCATGTCTATTATTACCAACTATCTCCGTGCAGTGTGAGCACCTGAAGTGGTTCATTTTCCCCAAAAGCAAACTCAACCTAAAGGCCAGCAGGACCTACCCATGCTTGCTAGACGAATGCCTTCTTCTCTTGGTGTGAGATCCTATGATAGGAAGGGTTCTAGAAAGACCAAAGCCCAAGGCTCGTGGCATGAAAACAACAGTCAACAAAATCTTTCCTAAAAACACTGTTCTGCACGCTAAGAAGTCATTAGCTCTGTGCTGCTTCCTGTGTGATGCAATAAAACCTCCCTGTCTGCAACCTCCTGGAGCTATCTAGACATCACATGTATAGGGGATGACATCCTTTTTGTACCCAAGGGGAATATCGGTACTAGCCAGGCAGAGCCATATGTCCACTGAGTCATAAGACAGGAAAAGAACCAAATGAGTTCTGCTCTACAAAAACCCCAGCACTGCCTGAGGGACCCCAGTGGTGAATGACACAGGCCTGGCCAGAGTGTCCAGGTTAAGCTCTGTTCCTTACTAACAACTAAGCGACTTTGGCCAAGTTATGCAACATCTCTAAACCTCTCTTTCCTCATTTACAAGGCTGGGATAAAAAATGGCACTCTCTTCATGGAGTTATTAGGGGGGCTTATAAACACTAAACAAAATGCCTAGTTTAGGTAGTTAGAGTTTGGTGAATATTACTAGCGATTATCAGTGAAACTGATCACCTGCCCTGGCTAAGAACTTCTCTTTGACATTGAGAGAGACCGGTGGGGGAGGAAAGCCTGTAGTTCTGGATGAGAACTTCCTTTCTGACTCATCCTTTCAGAGCCGTTCCTTGCCAGGGGTCCAATGCCCTGAAATTACATTAGGCTTTTCCTTATTACCAACAGTGTATCCAAAATTTTGAGTGGGTTCACTTTTTAACAACCCCACAGTTGTCCTTCAACTTGGGAGGCAATGGGGCTTGGAGGTAGTTCAGAGCCAACCAAGTGCATCCTTGTACTTGCCTAGCAGTTAATGCAGAGTTAGGGAGAACGTTGTCCACTGTAGGCTCAGAGGAACCAAACGCGAGACAAAGCCAAAGAGGCTAAAGGGAAGTTCTTTGGGAAGAAGATGTGAAAGAAGCAGCTCTGAGAGGGTCAGAGGCATTTGATAACAATGCCTGTTATCAAATCTCAAGACTCACCAGGTCAAGGCACATGGCAGCCCCTCTCCCTCCCCCACCTCTCCCCCTCCCCAGCACTCGTGCCTGTGCTCTCTCTCTCTTTATCTCTCTCTCTCAAAAAGAAACAAACAAAAACAAGAATATTCCAGATAATCTTAGTTTTCCTTGGGCCCAAAGTGAAAAGAGTCAGGTATAGAGAGTTGAGCTCCACCCAACAAAGAAGTCCAAGACTCTTTTAGATACACTCGGTTGTCTCAGAGCCCAGTGGGGGCATGGTTACCATGACAACCAATGCATAACTAAGGCTTTAGCATAACTTTTGAAATTCTCATATTTCCAAGGGAGTTCTTTATAGGCAACCTTGAAGAACACTGTTTTGTGGTTATAAAATTCAGAACAGAGTGGTTTCAAGCTTGACTTCTTATACAAGGACCTGTATTCCTAGTATATGGAATGTTCATAAGAACATATGGATGTTCTTTGTCATCAGATTTTCTCTGCACTATACTGAAAAAAGAAAAGAAAAGAAAAGAAAAGAAAAGAAAAGAAAAGAAAAGAAAAGAAAGATAGAAAGAAAGGCAAAAAACCCTCTGATCTTCCCCATGTTACTTTCCACTACCAACTATTTTTTTAAGTTTATTTATTCCGAGAGAGAGAGAGAGAGAGAGAGAGAGAGAGAGAGAGAGAATTCCAAGCAGGCTCTGTACTCTGTGTAGAGCCAATGCAGAGCTCAACCTCACAACCATGAGATCACGACCTGAGTGGACATCAAGAGTCAGACCCTTAACTGAATGAGCGACCTGGGTGCCCCACCCCAACTCTTAATTAAGAAGCCTGTGGTCTCTGGCTCTGGTGGGGTTTTATTAGTTACAGCTTAAAAGAAACAACAGGTTTGTAGACATGTGGGGCTTAATAAAAGAATATAGATTTTAAGAAATGATAATAATTCTGCTTCTGCAGGGTTCATCAGAGGTGAGCTTCAGGGATTCGAAACATATCAGATTGTGTTGGCAGTTTGGGGAATGGTGGAAATAGTATCTCAAACTACACACACAGTTAGTATCCTAGAGGCTGGTAGAAAGGTAATGACTGTGCTCTCCATGTGCTGTGAACTTTACAATCATCACTTAATCTTACCCTCACAGATTTCCAGCAAAGTGCTATTGGTTCCACTTTACAGATGAAGAAACTGAGGTTCAGCAATATTTAATCATTTGTCCAAGGATGCACAGCTAATTAGCAATGGAGCCAGGACTTGAGACACCTGCCCTCTTTGGCCCCAAAGTCCATGTGTTCAACAATAGGGCCATTATGTCTCTAGTTACAAGAACAGGGCTTGGGAGGCATGAACCAATATCAAAGTTCAGTGATAGGAACTGCTTGTTATGCATGAGGCCACAAGCTCAAATGCCTACAGATCAGGTAACATAAATGAGTATTGTGTGTTGGGCGAAAGATATTGGGGAATGGGGGAACTGGAGAAAAACTGAGAAGTAGAGACCATCTTCTGTCTAAAAAGGGTGCCCCTAACCCTCTCCACCCAATTATCAGTATTGCATCTACCAAAATTTTCAAGAGAAAACTGGAAATCTGATTTTCATGTGAAAACTTTCCATTTTGAAAAAAAGGGCCACAAAGTCATTGTTAACCCCTAGAAGCCAGACAAAACACATTCTGGGTGTTATTTAGTATCTTTCACTCTGGACTAAATATTCCATGACAGTAAAACCTCTATCTGTCTTCTTAGTGCTTAGTGCTGGGCCCCAGGCCCCAGCACAGGGTATAAGAGCTTAATGAATATATGTATAACAAATGAATGAACTTAAAATCAACAATCTGGAAAGAGGTAAAGAAGGACCAAGCCCTGGCTCTTGAATGAGAGTCCTTTCCAGAGCTATGGCTGCCCAGATGGGTAGGAAAGAGACAAGGCAATGGCCGAATCCACTCACTTCCAGCAAATTTTGGTGGGGGGCAGGAAGTGGCTCACACTTTTTCTTCCATAAAGCAAAGTTGACCTGAGAACTGGGGAAGACTCAACCACCCCCACCCCCCCAGAAGCTAGGGTCATCAGGGCAGGGAGGGTTAGGAATGAGAAACCTGAGCTGTGTCTCCTAACCTAGTTCTTCTTTTCCTATACATTCCCTATGCTCCAGTTATCCAGTCTGTGAAATGAAATAGATGGGGTATAATAAGTCCAAAAGATGGAGGAAAACAATGAGTTAATGGACAGTAAGCTACCTGGCAAAATTTTTTATAGAAAGACATGCCTAAGTGTTCAATGTATCCTAGAAATATGATCTCAAGAAGATTCCCATCTTTGGAGGTTCTCAATTATTTCTGGCTAATAAATTAGATGAGATATATCAACAAGGGGGTTTCCAATAAAAACCTGCCAAAGTCTCCATCTGTCTTAGTCTAGTTTCAAATGTGAAAGGATCTCATAGTCTCTGAATGTAGCTTTGAATGTAGCTATATGTTTTCTTTTTAATAACCCCAAATCAATAGTCAAGCAAAAACTAAGTTCTCATAAAAAGTTTCTAACTCTGGGGGCGCCTGGGTGGCTCAGTCAGTTAAGCATCTGACTTTGGCTCAGGTCATGATCTCATGATCTCCCGCGTCGGGCTCTGTGCTGAGAGCTCACAGCCTGGAGCCTTTTTCAGATCTGTGTATCCTTCTCTCTTTGTGCCCCTCCCCTGCTCACACTCTATCGCCCTCTCTCAAAAATAAATAAACATAAAAAAAATTTTTTTTAAAGTTTCCAACTCTGCAACTTAAACTCCAATATATGCAACTATAAAGCAGACCTCACAGGCAGCACCTTTGTTCTGAGACAAAAAAGGGAATCTTTTGCACCCAAGTTGTCACCAGCTGCCACTGGCCAGAATGGTAGCCCAGTGGACAACCTGGGCTTCCCTCATGGGCCTGTGACCAGGTTCTCCCAAGCCCCACTGTTGGCATGCTGGTGTTTGAGGTTACCCACCAACTCTGCACCCCAGGAAACACATTCCTTTCCTAGCTCCAGAGGAGCTGGTCTTTCTCTGGCTCCTATGTTGGGATTGTGGTTGAACAATATAATTTTTTTAACTAAGGAGACAGTATTACTCAAGAGCCAACTGTCCTTTCCAACTCTTCCTCATCCTGGAGATGAGCCTTGCTTGCCATTTTTATTAAATAGCAAAACACTCCCCTCTAAGCAACCCACCAGGGACCACTTGTGATGATATTAAAACCACCAACTCCAGCTTCCGATCATCCCAGAAGTGTTCCCCAGAGCACCATATCATCTTATGGTTTCAAAAACAAGAATACCGACCTTTAGGAACAGTGGGAGAAGATTCAACAGGCTCTGCTGATGTTCAGCCGGGCTTCCGTGAGCCAACTTCTGATATTCCAGAAACTTCCTTTCTAGCATCTCCCAGAGAGCAGTGGGACCAGGAGACTGGCCTCCATGTGGGAAGTCAGGCTGAGCAACATCAGGCTGGCCTTCATTTTTGGAACCTGGACACTCAGCTCTGTCTTCAGCCCTTGAAACATCTTCTGCCTCCATGCCTTAGCAAAGCAGATCTGAATTCAGAACAAAAAACAAAAATGTAAAGTCCTGTCACAGCACTTCCCGATGAAGCTGATTGGGAGACAAGGTACTGTACTCATTCAGTTCAGTTCCTACTGAGGATGGTTCCTCTAAGAATCTGAAACTGACTAAAATAGGGAGACTTTTTAAAAAAGAGATTCTGACTTAGACGTGACTTACATTGACAATCTAACTTGTGCCAGGCACTGTTGCTGGGCTCTTTACACAGACTCATGAGAGCGGTGGGCATTCTTATTTTCTCTGTATAAGGAAGGAAACTGGCTGGGCCAAAGGCATATGGGCAGGTGGACATCCCGTTGAAAGGCAAACCGTTAACACCAAAGCTTGCTTTTTGTTTTTATTACATGATGCCGCACCTTTTTTAAAAAGCAAAGTAGAAGGGATATGCACAAATGCCTCACCAGTATTTGCACAAGCATGCAATTCTGTACTTCAGTTGTAACTTCCTTCTACCATATGCGTCTAAAAGGTTACAGGTTTTTCATTCTCAGCGTTGCTTCACATTCAATATTTTTAGAGAACTTTGTCCTCAAAGGGACTCTAAACCCCCATGCTAACTTAAAAGACCTCCTTTATTAGCACACACGCAGGTGACTTGTGCAAGCTGGAGATCTTGGGTCAGTAGGCATGAGGACAAGAATTTATGCAATGAAAGTAGCCAAAGACCGATTTGCCAGATGTGTAACCTTGAGAAGGTGCCTTTATTTGTGTCCTTGACTTTTCAGTTGTCCCAGTCTTTAGTTGAGTCATGACTGACTCCCAGCACAACAAATGCTTGTTTGTTTGTCAGGAGTACAGGAAACTCCAAGTGGAGCCCAGAATGTCCAGCTCTCCTGCAAGAAGCCCTCCCCAACCATGACGTCACCATGTAGGAGTCCATCCTGGAGTCTGTCCAGTGACCAACAACCACCAATCATGGGGCAGCAACCAGACCGATGGGCACAAGAAACGGACCCGCCAGTATTTTTCTCTGGGCTACGGCAGCTGAGGGGCTATGCCACGCTTTATTTTTAGCCCAGTACACCCCCCCCCCACAGGCTAGATCGGGGGTGAACTAAGGGTCATGTGGCCAGATAAACCATCCCTCTTTGAATCATTCTCACCCTTTATGTACACAACTCCACGAGTCCCTGATGCTTCTTCCAACACATGTACTTACTACTCTCAAACTTCATTTTCTTGTTACAAAAACCATGTAAGTTCAGTGTCAAAGTAGGAAAGGAACAGAGTATCAGGAAGCATACCGAGTACTGAAATAAGCAAACCAGCCTCGAAAATTCTCTGAGCGGACAATACCAGTTTAGTCCTACAAGCAAAGCTTAACGTCACTTATTTTGCAAAACTAACTTGATCTCAGTCATTTCTTGCTTAGACCCTCTGAAAATCAGAAACAAAACTTAAACTGTCTTCCAAGGTTGATATGAGGCAACCACAGACCAATTCCCTGTCATTTAAGAAAATTCTAATACTTTAACCAATCACTGCGAAGAATAAATAGTCGGTGCCTTCTCACTATATAAGCTGCTTTATAACAATAGACCCCTGAGCAAAGTGTTCCCACTTGGAAAACTTGTCTTTTTTGGTATGTGCACAGTTTTCACTAATTACTACTTCAGTAATTCACTGGTTTTTCTTTGGCTGTTTCTGAGTCTGTGACACTAACTTGCCCTTACCCAGAAAAATGATGATTGGTATTTCATGTTATCTATGAATATGTTTGATTAAAAAAAAAAAAACCATAATCCTAGGGGCGCCTGGGTGGCTCAGTCAGTTAAGTACCCAACTCTTTATTCCAGTTCTGGTCATAATCTCATGGTCCGTGAGTTCGAGCCCTACATCAGGCTCCTCGCTGATAGTATGGAGCCTGCTTGGGATTCTCTCTCTCTCTCTCTCTCTCTCTCTCTCTCTCTCTCTCTCCCTCCCTCCCTCTCTCTTTTCCCCTTCTCTGCCTGTACACTCTATCTCTCAAAATAAATAAAATTTAAAAAAAACATGCTCCCTAATATTGTTGAAGCAAACTTTTTATTTATACTTTTTGCTTTTGATGGTTGGTTAGCTGGAGCTTGGTAGGAGTTTTGTTTCCTTTGTTGGGTTGACCCTCGGGGGCAGGTGGTGGGGTGCCACACATTCCAGCACAGTCTTCCCTGACCTGGACCACGTTCCTGGCTGGCTTTGTCAGTTTATTCACTTCTTCCTTAGCCCTCCTTTCCCCACTCACATTCCCCATCCCGCCCACCCCACCTGCTTAACAACACAGGTCTTTATAAAACATGACATAGGTGGGGCCGGTGGCTCAGCCTATCGAGTGCCCAACTTCGGCTCAGGTCATGATCTCACAGTTAGTGGGTTTGAGCCCCATGTCAGGCTCTGTGCTGACAGCTCGGAGCCTGGAGCCTGCTTCGGATTCTGTGTCTCCCTCTCTCTCTGCCCCTCCTCAACTTGCACTCTGTCTCTCTCTGTCGCTCTGTCTCTCTCAAAAATAAACATTAAAAACAAAACAAAACATGACACAGGTGATATAATTTCTGAATACAGGCAATTCAAGTTCCCTGAATGACTTTCTGCATCTTTTCTGCAGCTCCCTTTTTCACTCAGCACTGCGCCTTCAGACCTAGCATGCGTCTCTGTGTTTGTCAGCTGCATTCCTTCTAACTGCTGCCCCTGTTACAAAGTGGGCATCGCATGCCTCTTTGATGTTTCGCTCCACAGTCATGGCCAGATTGCCCATGACTTCCTACAGTGCACTCAATTTTGTTCTGGATATGCCCATGAGGGGCCCTTCATGGGGCTGGATGTGACCGGCTCTGCATATGAACTTGGGGGCAGGAGTGCTAAGTCAAGGGTACACACCTGTTTCATTCAACTAAATGCCATGAACTAAGATGCTTCCAGAAAGCTGGCACCAGACCACACTTTCCCCACAGGCTCCTCTACCATCTCACTAATTACCCGTGCTCTAATGTTTGCCAATCTGATTGAAGTAAAGCGATTCCTCTTTGTTATTTTAATTTGCATTTCTCTAAGGAGTCTGAGCATCTCAGACGCCTCTTAGCTATTCGCAGCTCCTCTTCTGACTATTCATAACCTTTGCTTATTTTTCCTTGCCTGTCTTTTTGTTGTTGCTTGGAGGGAGTATAGTCAAGAAACTTGTCCCTTGTTGGTTTTACAAATCACAAATATCTTCTTGCAATCCATTTTTCTGATGAATTAGTTTAGAATGTTGTTTGTCACAAAAACGTATCATGAATCTTCGTGTTGTCGAAGGTCCTCCACATCTTCATTTTGTTTTTATTTATTATTTGTTTTTGAGAAAGACAGAGAGGGTGCAAGAAGAGGAGGGGCAGAGAGAGAGGGAGAATCTCAAGCAGGCTCCACACCATCAGCACAGAGCCCAAAGTGAGGCTCACACTCCTGAAACTGTGAGATCATGACCTGAGTCGAAATCAAGAGTTGGATGCTTAACCGACTGAGCCACCCAGGGGCCCCATCTTCATTTTGAATGGCTTACGGTGGCGGTAGAGTCATGCTGGTCGTTCATTTAATTAATCCCCTACACGTAGGTGTTTAAGTAGTTTCAAATTATTCGCTACTATAAACACACCATAATCATAGGCCTTGTGTCTAAGTCTTTCTTATAGCCATGAACAAATAATAGATTTAATACATTCTGAAATTCCTAGAATATAAATAGCTGTACCTTGACACGTATTTCCAAGCCACTTCTCCTTAAACACTGCATCAATGTATAGTCCTCTGACCAAGAATGTATCAGAGTTCACACTTCCTGGGGTGCCTGGGTGGCTCAATCTGTTAAGCGTTCAACTTCAGCCTAAGTCATGATCTTGCCATTCCTGAGTTCGAGCCCCGCATCGGGCTCTGTGCTGACAGCTCTGAGCCTGGAGCCTGTTTCAGATTCTGTGCCTCCCGATCTCTCTCTGCCCCTTCCTCACTCACACTCTGTCTCTCTCAAAAATAAACATTAAAAAAAATTACAAAAAGGAGTTCACTCTTCTTCACTTATCGCTTTTTAATTCCTGCTCATTTGGTAGTTTAAAAAGCAACGGTGCTGACTTGTGCACACACACAAAAGCAATGGCTTCTGTGTTGCATCCCCCCACATATTCTGCTGTCCTCTTTCTGTCTGGTTGCTGCTCAGTCTCCTTCAGGGGCCCCTGCAGTGGTTTTCTGGAGTCAGATGCCAAGTGTCCTCATTTCTTGAGTTCCCTCAAGCTACTCCCCTGAGAGCCACATAGGCACTGCATGCTAGCTCTGTGAAGGAAGTCACTGCACCTATGCCGGGGGGTGGCACAGCATAGACGCTCAATGAAATGTTACTGTATGAATGAACGAACGAATGAATGAACCTATATGCTGACGGCACCCGGATCTTTCTGTCTGTAGTTTAGACTCCTCTTCAAAACAACTTTTTCCCCCCACGCTCCAAGATCTCTACTTGAATTTCCCCCAGACTTGGACCATCCCTGTGTCCAAACCCCTCTCTCCATCCCCAACAGAGCCAGCACAGACACCCCAATGCACGGGATGGCTGATAGAGCCAAGCTAAGTGTTGCCTCCATCACATTTTGCGGTCACACCTACCAGGTGCTACTAAATAGATTCATTCAATAACACGCCTCGGTAGGCTCGCAGCCACGCACATTTTCAGAACAGGCAGGTGACAAGATAAGGTGAAAGTGTGGCCCTGAGGAAAGTAGCTGGATGTCCAGGGGAGATATCAGAAACCCCTTCAGGTTTCCTCTGAAATTAAGAAGCCATATTTACGGAAGTGAAACACTTGAATCGCTTTTCCCTGAATAAAGAGGCTTTAAAACCAAGAATCTCTGACAAATGAGGATCCATGAAATCCCACGGAGAAGTTGTCTAACTCACATGTCAAGCTGTAGCCATCCCCCCTCTCGGTTCTGCTCATCACCCTAGACCTACTTCAGTTTTAT